TATTACAAATATAACGAAATTATTCATATGCTAGTTTGAAAGAACTGTTTCTGGAATATTTGAAGCAAAGTGTTTCTATCGATTCGTGAGCATTGGTGCAAGAGAAACCTGTTTTATCAACAAAAATCGACTGTTTGTGAATAATTAAATAATCGATTTATAGGAAAAATGGTACGCTACATTTTAAAAATTACATTTTCACTTGGGGGAGTCGATGGAATTTTTTACTTTAGATGTTTCAGTCCTTCTAATATTTCGACTTTAAAAGAATTAAAATACAAAATTCCTTCCTTTTCTAATATTTCGACTTTAAAAGAATTAAAATATAAAATTGAATATTATTGAATAATTATCTATGAAAATAATTCACAAAGTTTTACCTATTTTTAGAGGTCTCAAAATGATCTTTCCTAAAACTTCAGCAATATTCGTGGATATTTTGTTGATATAACAAAATAAGATCAAACATATTTGTCAATATAAAATATAGCAATTGGCATCGAATTGTAAAATTCACAGTTTTCTACAAGTTACTGTATAAAATCTACGTGAACTCCTGGAGAAAGTCAGCAAAGTTCGTAAATAAATTTTTAAAACTCGCAAAGTCTGCAAGTTCTTAATAAATTTAATGTCTCTCTTTTTTAAACATTCTTGTGAAAAGTTTAAAAGAAGTCAATATCAATTCAGAAATTTCTGTTTTATCGAGAATTATATTTTTCTATTCTATAAACTGCGGATGTTCGTATTTTTTAGAATGAGATTTAAAAAAAACAGAAGCTCGATAGGAAATTATTTCCTTGGGTTATTTCATAAATTTTTCACGTACATTATGTACAATTTCACACGTTAGAATTTTCCTACAATCACGTGCAACTAAAACTCTTTGCTCTATCGATTATTACGTCAACTGCGTGGCATCCGATCCTTAATTCAAAAATAAGATTACGATACGTCGATCGCTATTGAGCAGAAAATACCAGACTTGAACAATAATTGTGTTCTTCACGTTCTTCTTGGCAATAAGGCTACTACGTCCAAGTTAAATTCTTCGGGATGAAATTAAATTTTTCAGTGATTGCTGCTTCCAGGTATACACTTACGATGGAAGTAAGCTGCGATCAAGTTAATTGTTGAGTTAATCGAAAGGCTGAGAATCGTAGTGATGTAAGCCATATCTTACAATGTTTTTTCGTAAAATTATATGTACTTATTGCTTTCTTAGTCAAAGTGCTAGAGTGAAATTTTTCAGTAACAAATAAAGTTACGACAACAGTCGGCCTTCAACATTTGGCAAAACATTATTAAACCACTATGATTCTCAGCTATTCAGTATATTGTTAACAAACTGTTGCTTTTCTCTGTCAAACTGTAGTAATATTTGAAATATATTTCAATGGTACATCTCCCCCATTTCGATAATCTTCAAATACACATATTGTCAGTAAACTACGGATTTTTTATGCGCATGTAGAAAATTTAAAAATGCAAAATTGCACGCAACGCACATAACATGAAAAAAAAATCAGTAAGATATCCAGGATACACGGCTTTCCGTAATATCTGGTAAAAAAATTTTTTTACCAAGGTTCCATCGTTTTTATTATATTCCTCGAACTATGAATTTGCATAAAAATCCGCGGCCAAGTTATTAGAATCGTAGTTTCGAATAACTTTTTCCTATTCTATAGCTACCCGCAGTTTTCAAATTATACGTAAAAATATTTTTATTACTACGTTATTTAGAATATATTTCTATTAGCTTGAATTGAATTTATGTCTACGTTTATTTGTACATATGCATAACTGGAAATATTTGTTTACGTACATTAACGTATAATTAGTTACTAATATCAATATCTTGAGTAATCAATCGTACATAATCACCAAAGTTGATCTCAGTTTCAGAGACGTACGAATGCAAGTATGAACAAATATAACTATGTCCATCTCAAATATCTCAGCTGTTTTTAAGGACATGGAAAAATTTTGTTAACGAAAGTTCATTCAGTATAAAAAGGATCATAATACGGCGTTAAATCATAATTTTTCTTTCTAAGTTAATATGTTTTCTGGCGTATTAATCGATGCAGCTCGACATTTTCTATAAAAAAAATATTAAACTTTGTATGTTGAGAAACTATTGCTATTAGGAAATTTTTAGATGTAATATTAAAAAATACAATGCTAAGGCTGCCATATTTGTATTATTAATGAAACAAAATTTTGCTGTATACATTATATTATATTTTATATATATATATTTTCTTTATTAATGAACGAAAATTGTTCTCGACGTAACTTAAACTAGTTGAAAACACGAATTGGATTGAAAAATTATATTTTTTTTAATATCATTTTCTAATGTATTTCTTTAAAGTTATTGGTATTTTTACGTAGGAAACGTGTATTTTTTTTTTTTTTTTTTTTTTTTTTTCTTTTTTCGAATATGTAGAACATTGAACAATGTTGCAACAAGACGCGAATTAGGTATCAGTGATGCANTTTTTTTTTTCTTTTTTTTTCTTTATTCCATCACATAGCTCATGAAAAAATACATTCAAATATATTCATGATATAACCTTCAAATAACCTTTCACTTTAAAATTTTTAAATTAATGTGAGACTTGTATTGAGCGAGATTTTAATAAATTTCTCAATAAACTTCCTTTGTTTCTCAAAAATTTAGTGTAATTTTTGTCCAACCGTTTTGCGTACCGTAAGTATCAATTATCCTATTACTTACAATTCCGGATTATTGATATTGAAAATGATATTTTTAAAAAATTTAATTGTAATATTTTTTAAATATTTTTAAAATATTAAGAAATATATTTTCTAATATTTTAAAAATTTTTTAAATAATATTTAATATTTTAATAATATTTTAGTAATATAATACTTTAATATTTTAATAATATAATATTTTAATAGTACTTTTAAAATATTAAATAATAATATAATAATTTAATATTTTAATAATATTTTTAAAATATTAAAAAATATATATTTTAATAATATAATATTTCAATATTTTAATAGTATTTTTAAAATATTAAATAATAATATCATAATTTAATATTTTTATAATAATTTTAAAATATTAAAAAATATATTTTTTAATAATATTTTTTTAAAAAATAGTTCTTCCATCCAATTCGTGTCTTCAACCAGTTTAAATTACGTTGAGAACGATTTTCGTACAATCATTAATAGAGAAAATATTCAAATGGCAATAGAATAGGCTGTAGTAGACCCTAACACCCTATACTAGACGTAATGCTATTTCTCAGAAATCAAAATAATAACGTCAAAGCTAATAAAATTAAAAAGAACCGATTGTTCAACAATTGTGTATTCTATTATTGCGATTCTTTTAGAATATTCTAGAATACTCTAGGAAACAATTTAGTGCTTCTGTCGACATCTAATAATGACAGATAACTCAAATCTTAAAAAGCATTTTTCTCAAAATAAAATTTCCAAAATTGATAGAAATACCTGAAAGATTGTTGAATCAATTTGAATAAAAATTTGAAGTAACAGTCTCCAGATTATTATCTAACGCTTGAGGAAGTAAAATTTTGATTCATGCACTTTTCACAAATTTGGAAGGAAGGAGTTATTGGAGAAAATTTACGACGAAAGTTACATGCTCGAATTCAAATAATCGTCGTCTTTTCAAAAATTATTTTAAAAATTGGCTTCGACGAGTACTAGTATGAATTAACGTAAAATTAAAAATAAGATGTACATGTTATTTGTTGAATGAGATATAATTTTATCTTCATAAAATTCTTGAATTTTCCTTATAACCGTTCAAAGTTATGTAACCACTTAACTTAAATTCGATTTAAACCAGTTCAAATTATAAATCAAATCGAGATCTGAATCTAAAATACAATACATATTGTAAAGAATATAATATTTTTATACATATTTTAAACTGAAGATGAAAAAGAAGACAGTTACTCAGGGATGTATTTCAAGATCGTTGAAATCAGTGAGATGTGCCCGTTTGTAAATAATTTTTTATTTTCTTGCCTCAAAATTGTGTAGAGGTTTTAAAAAAGAAAGGAAGTGCTTCGAAACGACGGTGCTTTGAAAAATGTTTCGTAATTCAAAAGCTATGAATTTTACGATTTATCCATATTTATTCAAATTATTCGACGTATATAATAACAATGAAATACAACAACTATTTAGAAATAAGATGCTTGTTTTTATAATCTAAATGCTTTCTCGTATAAAAATTCAAACTTGTAACATAAAACTAAATGTCGAATATCGAATCAAACCCAAACCATACTGATTTTCTTAAACTTGCATCTTACCTCCTAAGAAAAAAGGAAGAAACGTGCCCACAGTAACCGAATCATGTCAAACAAATAACTATATTTTATCTTTCACTGGCAACAATATTCAACGCGGCGAATTCTATGAATTAACACTAGAACTTAACCGACGACTAAAATACAATATTTGTAGCTAAAGAAATTGAAGTGAAAGTTACAAGAAAAAGAAAAAAAAAAATTAACAATACAAGGAAGAACACAAGCTTCTATTAACATATTTTATTAATAAAAATCACTCGAGTGTTTGAAAATACACTGTCGTAAATGTACAAAATTTCCATAGAGAAATTATAAATTGGTCATTTGTTTAGGACTAGTTTGGCAGTTCTCATAGCTACGAATTCCCGACTCTCCCGGTGTCGAGCACTGATTTCAAAGCACCGGCATTTCCCGCAGAGAATCAATCAAGTGGTGTCGATCGGGATTCGAAAAAGGCGGGGCAATTACGTGGTATTACCAGGGGAACCGGCGTCACCCTTTTCCCCACTGGAAAAGAGGAAACGATCTAAGAACGATTCAACCTTGAGTCTTGACAATTATATGAAAGCACGTCACAAAGTGAGTGGCCACTTGAGCGTGGCCTCGTGAACGACGAACCCCGGACGACGATTCTCGAAGGCGTGTAATTCGATTAGCATTACGACGTACTTGTTCTGCCGTCAGGTAACAGCGTGTCGAGTGCATTCAGGGGGTACGCCGAGCAGGTGATATTACTGTAGCGCCAGAATTCTCGTGCAGACAGTTCCAACATCTCCCGAAAGACCTCTGCGCGACCCAGCTGGCAGGCGAGCGTCAATGGGGTCAGTCCAGCGGCATTCACGATCCCATTGCGAGCAGGAAGCTTCGGATGACGGAGAGCATACCCGAACATGTCCTGCGTTATACAGCCGTGCTATTGTACTCGATTTAGCGGAAATCTCTTTCGATGGTCGAGGAATAGACCAGTCCTCTATGCGGTCTCTTGTTTAAGAGGGCGTTCGTTTGCATTGGCCCAGAAATATCGATTTTTTTTTCTCTTTCTTTCTTTTCTATTTTTCTTTCCCTTTTTTTTTTTTTACGTAAGTATGTAGTTACATTGTAATATTATCCCGATGAAATGCAAATAAATACTGTGAGGAAACTTTGGTGATATTAACAAAGTTGGATT